AGCGGTCTGCGTGGCAGGTTGAGCAGCTTGCGAATAATAATTGTACTGTGGATATTGGTAATACCGAGATTGATTATATGGATTATATGGATTATAGGTAGCGCCGCTAGTCGGATACGTGTTATTAGCATTATTATATGTGTTTGTCCCGTAAGCGTTCGTGTTATTATTATTATATGGAGTTGAAGTCATAGTAGGGGAAGAAACTGGTGCTACAGATATTGATGCAGAAGTTGAAGAAGGCTGTGAAGATTGTGAAGAAGGTGTTGGTGGTGGCGGATAGGTTGGTAATGGAGGTTGAGATGAAGAATTATTTGGAGCTGACATAGGTGGAAGTGGTGGTGGCGGAGGTGGCGGTAGTGGTGGATTACCGCTAAGTGGTGGTGGTGGTAGTGGATTACTGAGTGGTGACGGAGGAGGTGGTGGATTACCGCTAATTGGTGGTGGTGGTCCACTAGGTAAAGGTGGATTGGCTGGCGGAGGAGGGTAAGACTAACAAGGGAATCTTCATTAATTTTCACATCATCTTAAAGAATTGAATTGAATTTGTTAGAAACGTAATTTAACATACCCCTGAAATTGGTGGTGTAGGATGCCCATAAACAGGCGGACGGGGATATGGAGACCTTCCGTATGTAGGATAAGTTGCCTGCTGTGCCTTGTGTCTGTCCCATTCCAACTTTACTGTGTTTATAAGATCTTCGCATAATTTCTTGGCCCTGTCAAGCCCTTCTTGACTCCAACATCTATGAAAAAATAATAAAAAAAAAACATATATCTCTTGAATTTAATTTAATAATAATTAACCCTTTTATCATCTACACACGTGATATGAATATGTAACGGTTCAAAAGCTTCTGTTCCCGAAGTAGGTTCGACATAACCAGACCCACGCCCTTTAAGTTGTACTTTTGCTCCAGTCTCTTGTTGAATATGTTTAACATAAGCACCTTGTGGCCCTACAATTTTTGCTCGCGCATTAAAGGTACGATCAGGTTCGATACCAACAAATACTTTATCCTGAACAAATTGCTTCTATTATAGAAAGATTGTTAAAAAAAAAATTTAAATTTGGAAGATAGGAAAATCAAATGGATCATAATACATACTCCTCCTGGATGGGGACCGGATGGACGAGGCGTTGTCGTAGGCGGAGGAGGTGCGGAAGATTGTTCCATCAGCTCATTTATTTTACTGACTGCGGCATCTAACGCTTCCTGAGTTGATGCCGTCACGTGCAGAAAAAGGGGCGGATCCTTTTCGGTGGCGAGGAGTTTATCAGGGTAATATTTCCCACGAGTTGTTACATCTAAATAGTATATATAATTTAATTCTCTTTAAAAAATATAATAAGGAATATTGACCAAAAATGTATTAAAATGCAATTACCTGCACCAGTTTCTTTTTGGATCTATAAAAAAATTTATGATCATTATAAATAAATTCTAATCATTATAAAGAAAGAAAGAAGTTATATTTTATTTTTCTTACCATTTGTTGAGTTAAACCTTTAGTCAAAAGGTATCTATTTTTACAATCATTAATGGTAATATCTATAATAAAATCCATATCAGTCTCCTTGATGGGCTGCTTGAGCTGTCTATAATCCTGAAATATTTTTACAAATCGAAGAATGAAATTATAAAGGTGTAGTAATAAACAAAAGGCACGCGTATTCATATTATAGTATACCTCAAAACCGCTATCGGCTGCTTCTGCTTTAGATGCTGACATGACTGATGATTTCGCTGGAACCTGAATGCCTTTTTTAGCTGCAAGCATTGCATTTATCTTAGCAGCAGCGGCAGCTATTTCGTATTCGAGAATGAATTATAGTAATTTAAAGATTTGCTTGAATGAAGAAATAAATAAAAGAAAAAATATATATATACCAACCCGCTGCAAGGTTGGGATCAAAAGTTTCAGAAATTTGGGAATTCGACGTCGTCGTCATCAAGGGAGCTTTATATTCAGACTCATCGCTAGTAGCTTCTATTGTGATTGATTTTGGTGTAGGTGCCGTAGCTGGAGGTGCTTTTTTTCCTTGATCATCAAGATCCCACTTACGCTTTCGACTAAAAAAAACACAAATATACCTCAAAAGGTTTTGAAAAAGAAAAGGGAAAGGGAAAAAAAAGCACACAAGCGATCATAAACTAATATTTTTAAGAAGATTCTATTTACTTACGTTTTACTATAAGACATTGTAGAATGTTAACAAATCAATTTGACAATAATATGAGCGTTAAAAATACGAAACCGTACTTTTAAGCAGAAAAGAAAAATCGTAATATAGATGAACAGCTGCAATAAATCGACCAATCCAAAACTACAGCATCACATTATTGGACCAATAGCTGATAAGTTATACATTTTGACAATAAACCGAATTTTTTTTCAGTTTGCTTCCTACGAAATCTGAAACAAAAATGTCTAAAGCATCACAACCAGAATTGAAAAAGTACTTGTTCATTTACGTGTATATAGTTCAATAAAATCAATTTTTTCCTTTTATTATTTTAATATATCAATAATTATTATTATTATATTTGCTAATTAGGTATATGGAGAAACGTTTGTTTATCCAATTGAACGGAGCAAGAAAAGTAACAGGAATTCTACGTGGTTATGATCCATTTATGAATTTAGTATTAGACGATACAGTCGAAGAAGTTTCTTCTACTGAAAAACATAACATTGGCATGGTGGTAAGTGGTTGTATCTTGCAATTAAAAATTTTTTTCACGCAAATTAACATTTTATGTGAACGATAGGTCATTCGCGGTAATTCAGTAGTGATAATGGAAGCACTAGAAAAAATTTGACATATTACGAGATTTTTTGATTGTACGCAATTTTTTTTTTTATTTTAAAAAAAAAAAAAATTAAAAATCACGTTCCAATACTAGATAGACTCTTTAATAAATGATTTATATAGAATCCTACGTTTAAAAAGTCTATATTTTATTTTGCAAAAATGGGGCACAATATTTTTTTATTTATAATTAAATATTACGCGAATTTTAAACATATCAACTAATAGAGTAATATATAAATAGGTTTTATAATTCAGGATATTTGAATTTAAAATATTCTTCATCGAAATGATGAACTCGAACGTAACCATCTTCTCCACCGGAAGAAAAACTTTTGCCATCCGAATGAACGGCAATTGTATTAATGGGACCAAAATGGCCTTTTACACGTCCTACTTCTTCTTCAAAAATTTTGTGCCAAAATCGACATTCAAATTTACCTTGTCTCATTGTAGTGGTGGTAACCTGCATAGCATCTTGTCCACCTCCTAAAATGACGAATTCTTGAATGGGAGTTATGGAGGCAGAATTAAGAGGAGCATCAGTAATGTATTTCTTCAAAGGAACCAGTGTATTGGATTCAAAAATTTGTGCTGATTTATCTTTTGAGGAGGTAATAAAATATGTACGATCTTCAGACATTTGGAGATCGGTAATAACGTCCGTATGCGGTTGGATCGATTTAACTTTTTCACCCGTCTAACAATTTAAATAAACTTAATTTAATAATATGAAATACGACATTTTCCTTTAAAGAAAAAATATATATATATGAATTTCAAACCTTCCAATCAAATTGAGAAATTGAACCATTTTCATGGCCAATTATTATATATTTGTTGAGATAACCCCAATCAGAGACCATAGCTTTTGAACCTTCTGGCATAATAATCATAATTGGTTCGTCCGATTCTAAAAAAAAAATTTGTGTTAATAATAAAAGAATTTAAATATCACGATGACAATTATCAAGGAATTAAATTACGCTTTGCATTAACATCATTTGCGATGGAATAGATGGTTACAGTTCCTGGAAATCCCATACGCTGTTCAGTTACAAAAAGAGCCATGCAATCGTCTTCGGAAAATGCAACGCGTTTAACAGCAGTTTTGAATTCCCAGGTGTGTAAGCAGTTGCCAGTCTCAACTTCCCAAAGTTTCGCAGTGTTATCTGCTGATCCAGTTAATAAGAGAGTACTTGTTGCTAATTTAATCAGAATCAATAATAAATTTCACAGGAAATTAATTTAAAAAGTCTCCAAAGTAAAATCGAATTTAACAATATAAATTAATATTACAATTAACATCAACTGTCCATATTGCACCGACATGACCATTATAGGTCCCTAAACGTTCACCATTATGTGAATACCAAGCATTCACTACATGATCTTTAGATACAGAAAAGAGAAGATCTCCTTCAGGGTTATACTTGATTTGTGTAAGAGATCGAGTGTGTCCTTGTAAAAGAATAGGTCTCTAAAAAAAAAAAAATTGAACACCGGAATAAATGATAATGAAAAGTGAAAAAATGGCTTCGAACATGATGACTTACCATTTCAAAGTTTTTATTGAAAATAATTTATTTTTGTATCTAAGATTTAAAATTAAAAATTTTTTGGCGCGATATTACTACACGTGACAGGCTTACGTGATGACATGTGACACATATAGATTCGAATTTTAATGTTAAATTATCAACAAATTATTTATTATGAAGTTATAATAATTATATAAATTTTTAAATAAAATAATCACGATTTTTATAGGGCTAGAAAAACTAGGTAAAAAAATAAGAAAAAGGTATATAAAAATATATATATACAATATCGTAACCTAACATTCCTTCAATTACCATGTCTAGCAATGTACAGAAGAAAATAAAAATGTACAATACAAAGAACATGAAAAAAATATAAAGTAAAATAAAAGATTTGAATTAAATAGATTCTGCCCGATTACCAATAATGAAAGAAACATCTATACCTCCAATACAAGGAAAAAATTAATATGAATACCAGTATATCATAATAAAGAAAATTTTTAAAATATGAATGAATATTTCTATATGATGATGAACAGTATAAAGGAACAAGAACAAAACATAGAAAGCTAATACATTTCTAATTTAAATAGTATTAAAAGAAATAAATATATATTAAAATATCTTACAATTTATAATAATCATGATCTTCCATCCTTGGCGGTCTTGAATTTAAGCAAAGGAGCAAGATCTGATAACGGGCAAGCTTTCTTCAGAAATTCATGCTAAGAAAAATCAATAATTTTAATTTGTGTAATTATAGACAAGTCGAGTTGTTTTACCAAATAAATAAAATAATACATACTTCTAAAAGTTCCAAAGCAGTTGCTCTGCTTTTAACATCTACACACAAACATACAGCTAAGAAACTCTTGAGTTCTCGAGATAATTTTTCCGGCTTTTTCAATGTTGGGGTGCCATTCGTGGCAATTAGATATAATGCTTTAAGAGGCTCTTCATCTAAGTATGGAGGTTCGTTTTCTATCATTTCAATTGCCATAATTCCAAGTGACCAAATATCTACTTTGGCACCATATTCTTTTTGTTTTACTACTTCAGGTGCCATCCAATAAGGAGTTCCAACCATTGTTGCGCGTTTATTTTTTTGATCGGTCAATTTGGCACAAAAACCAAAATCGGCTAGAATCGAAAATCAATTAGATTAAATGTTGTTTAAATTCTATTGGATTTACAAGTACTTACTAATTTTCACGTGACCATATGCATCCAATAGAACATTATCACTTTTAATATCACGGTGAATAATATTTTGTCCGTGAAGGTGTTGGAGTCCCTTACATGTCTAAAATGATTTATAAATTAGCTTCAAAAAAAAAATTTATATATAAGAAAAGGATTTCCTGAAAGCAAGCTTTACCTCAAAGCATATAGCCGCAATTTGATCTTCTTCAAGAGTATTATTATCAATTACATCCGTTAATGCTCCGCCTTCCATATATTCCATAACTACCCAAAGTTCGTTGCTTTTAACTAAGAAAGAATCAAGGTAATTAACAATATTTGGATGTTGAGATTCTTTCATTACGAGAATTTCATTAACAATAAGCTCCTTTCGAGGTTGATGTGAAAGATCCATCTGTTTAATGGCAACTTTAGCGCTTGTTGTGAGGGACTTAGCAACGTATACAGAACCAGAAGCACTATTCGAATACGTAAGAAAAAAAGTTATGAGAAATTAATACATTTTTGATTTGATTTAAAGCAATTTAGTATAAAATAAATTTTAATTCACCCTTGACCGACTTTCTTGATTTTGCTATAGAGTGTAGTTGGATCACCCGACGAAACCACTGATCTCAACTTTTCCATTATCTGTGCTTCAGTCATTGTACTAATCCTTCTCTCTGGTGCAGATTTCTTTGGTGGTTGAGGGCTTGATTGTTTAGGAGGTGCCTGCGTTTGTTTTTGTGGTTGGGCAGCTTCTTGTTGTTTAGGATATTGTTGTATTGGTTTAGGTATATTAGGTCCAGGTACTTGTTGTTGTTGTTGCTGTTGTTGCTGAAGTTGTTGAGGCGGTGAATATCCTTTAGGCGGTTGTTGATTAGACATAGGCGGTGGTGGTGGTTGTTGGTAATTTTGTGAATACTTTTCAGGAACACGTTGTGGTGTTGATGACATCATAGTTTGAGAAGGTTGCTGATTATATAACTAAAAAAAAGTAAAATATATTAATTTTTTAAACGCGAGTCGTCATTATTTCATATTTTAGCTTTTTTGATACAAACAACAAAGCTTTTTTTTTTAATTTCATTTTAAAATCATCCATGATCCATTTTTGTTGGAATAAAACTTACGGATGGGGAAATTGGCGGAACGGGTCCGGAATTTGGTGGTGGACGCATATTGTTTGCACTCAGCGTATTTGGCGGTCTTGGGGTGACTGGAGGACGATTTGGTAGAATATCAGGTCGCTATAATCAAAGCAAGTGAAATTTAATAAATTTAAATTTAAATTTAAAGCAAAATTAAAAGAATGACTCGATTACTACTCACAGTATCTTCATAATACATTTTGCGAGAAGAATCTGCAATATCATTTCTGCCACCCATGGTATTATTGCTCATATTGTTTGGTTGTACCATTTGTCTTCCATTCATACTGTTATTACCCATTCCAGTGATCCCACCAGGTGAAATTTTATTCATATCATACCCGTTACCATTAGGATTAGGATTAGGATATAATTGGTTCTTTGCAGGCACATTATTATTTTTTTTCGGTAATAGGTCAGCCCACTTATCATCAGGTTGTGCAGGGAAACCTGGAATGTGGCCTAATATACCATCTTCGTATTCTCGCTCTCTCTTTTGATTTTCTGTATAGAATTCTAACACATCTAAAACTGCTTGAGGATTTTTTTCATAATCCTCTTGAGTGATAGCAGAAGCTGTCAGAAGTTTGGTCCATTGTTCAGGCATGCCCTAGGTTAACACAACAAAATGATGAGGGTTATGATGGAATCGATAAAATATTTGCGTATTACATTAATTAATAAACATATTATACTTACTGTAAACATCCCACTAACTGGATCAAATCCAACATGAATATTATGCGAAAAATTTGTAGGGTTGGATACGCCGCTTAAAGGTGATCGCTAAATTTACATTAAGTTATAAAGCAAAATAATATATAGTTTATATAATTTATATAATGTAAGCATTAAGAGATGCTGTTATTTATGATAATTTTATTAAAGAATTCAGCAAGCTTGATGAAAAAAAAGTTTAATCATAAATTTGGAATTCTTTGATATAGACTTAAAAGAACACTTATAAAAGGTGTAAAAAAAAAGAATCACATGACAGAGAATCAAATATAATGATAATAAATTGCTTACCGTATAAATTTCGTCCATCCAAGAATATAATTCTTCGTCATTTTTGCAAGAAAGGTAATATGTTTTATCTTTTGTTTGAATTTCGAAACAATAAGGTTTTAAATCTGTCCGAGAAACGTTTATAATCTCTTTGAGGAAAATTAGAGCAACTGCTTGGTACGTATTCTAATTAGTAAGAAAATTAAAAATAATGCTACTAATTAATTCCTTAAAATAAATTATAAAAAGCAAGGGACTTTGGCTATAAATAGTTTCCAAGTTTCTTAAAACTAAATGTAGTCTTAGATGGTAGATGAGAAGTAAAAGAACTTTCATACCTCGTTCCGATGAAAAGTAAGAGTTTGGTCTCTAAGTAATAACCATCTTTTCGACCATATCCAAGCCCTTAAACCATCCTCCTTCACCGAAATGTAACCCTTCTTTACTACGAGTGCATTCATTTGTAGATTTTGAAGGAGAACAAATACTACTGATGCTCTAGAAGCCGTACTAATAAATTTAATTACTTTTGGTAATTTAAGTTTGTTACACCAAATGTTTTCATGGGAACTAAATATGATCTACTTTTTTTTAGGCAAAGAAAAATAAATATCCGTACAACCAAATTTGTTAATCACAATAATATGTGAAACGTTATTTTTTTTATAATTAATTAAGCTAATTCAGATTTTTTGTGTTTTAAATTTTTTAAACGAATTTTATAATGCCTATCAGATGTACAGGTTTATTATTAAGAAATAGATCATACGGGGCCAAAACTGCAACAAAATCAGACACTTGAAATCTGTGTCAGGTTACGCCGATTATATTGTTTAGAGTATGTGACACTATCATTTTGTTCAACCGAAATTTTATCTTTAAAATTTTCATATTCGTGCGACCTGCTAAATGGGTTGTTTGCTTTATAAGTTTCGCTTTGTAACTTACTATTGTATCCAATCATGTTGCAAAGCTCTGATTTTTGTGGAGAATCATCATTTCAGTTTATATAATAAAGACGAAAAAAAATACAAAAATTTGTTTGAAATTTTTTTTCTTGCGTAAATGTAATGAAATACTAACTCCTGCTTTTGTGGATCTTTACGGCGCAGGAGGAATGATTCTCAAAAGAAGTTCCCTATGATTTATTACTTATTTTAAGGTATAAAATCTGTTTCCGATGAAGGTAAATTTCTATTGTAATTATAAGCCACAGTAAATAATATTAAACTACCCTTTTCCGACCTTAAAACTAGTTTATATAGAAAAATTCTAGTAAGGATTCCCCGTCATCGTTACACAAAATTTTAACCCCTGTAATTGTTTATTGACCAATTAAAATCACGAATTTTGATAATATAGAAAAAAATTAAAAAAATCAATTTTTTTTTATTATAGTTGCCTGGCAAGACTTATTTTAGCAAATAGCAAAAGTCGAAACTATCTTAAAAAACTTTTTTTATTATGTCTTAAATGTAAATATGCAAAAGTATATATATAAAGTTGCTTTTTAAAAAAGTAAAATTATATAAAAATGCAAAACTATATCAAAACTTTAATAAAAAATTAGTAAAACTAAGTTTAGACATTTTATTAAATCTAAAATGAATTTAGACAGGCAACATTATATATAGCTAAAATATAAATAATTAATTTATATATATGTATAAAAAAATCAAAATTAAAAATGATTTTTTTGTATGTTCTAAAAATTCTCTATTGTTGCTACATTATCTATTGCTATTTTAACATTATCTGAATCATACTTTCATTCTTATCAATAAATTCATTTTTATTTAATTTTTTCATTATACTATCTTTTAATACATTAATATTTTTTTAATTTCAATTCAAAGATAATCTAAATATATCAAACATTTAAATTAGCTTCTTTATAAGTAATAATTATAATCATTCTCACACGCAAGAAAATTACCATCATTTAAAATATTAATATAGTAGTGCAATTACAATATAAGTAAATCATATATGATAATTATATAAGATTTTTTAAATGTAATGAAGCCTCTCAGAAAATGATGATCAGTTATTTTATAATTTAAAGAAAGCAATTTATATGAGTTAATTCTATTAAATAAAGTTTAAAGATCAAAGAATATTAATATTTTGCTTAGTATATCTTTGTAAACATATTTAAAATAATATAACATACTTTTAAAAAAATGCATGTAATTATTTTAGTATATATAAATATTTTATAGAATTCTTAAAATATTTTCAGACTAGTCTGCAATAATAGGGATTATGTAATTAGAAAGATATGATTGCATTAGTTTTTGATTATATATAATTTTGAAAACTTTATATAATCTTTTATATCTTTTAAATTGCTCTTAATAAATTCAAAAAAAATGGCATTTATATATGCTGATCAGCTTTCTTTCTACTAATTTATCATTGTAATATATACATTAATCAATTCATAAACTTATCATTAGTATATTTTTTACCTATATATTTATATATATTCATTATAAAAAAAACTAAAGTTTGTAATAAATCAATTATCAAGATATTTTAGAATCAATTTATTAACAATAACTTTTGAATTAAATGTTTTATCATGAAGTATTGCTAAAATAAAATAAGGATTTATTACAATCATTACTATATATGCTTCTAAAATATACTAGTAATATCAGATTATAAATATTATAGTAATTATCAATATTTAATATAAAAGCCTAATCTGAATATTTTGTAAGAGTATTTTTTATATATTTCTTATATAAATTCAAAATTTATTTCTTCTTATAATTTATTGATCTTAATTTTATAGTTACTTCAAAATTTATTATAGTATTTAAACTTCTATTATTTATATTAATTAAATTTAAATATAAAGTAATATTAAACTTAAAAGAATTAATTTACATATATTGTTTAATGAAATAAAAAGATAATATGTAAACACATTAATCTTTTCATATAATCTATTATTTGCTTATTATATTTATATAGCTATATTATTAAATAAAGTTAGTTAAAAAAATCCTTTAAACTTGACTCAATTTCTTGAAGTAATCTTCATATTTTATTGAATTTATATATAGGATCTTCTTTCTCTAAATACTCTCTTTCATAAAAGATTTTGTTATTACTTTGATAACTTTTGTAAGTTTAATCTTTATATTTACCTTTTTCTTATCTGTAATATATTTTTTTATAATCTCTTTACTCATAATTTTTTAATTATAATTATTACTCTCTTTTAAAGGATTTTCTATTAAATTTATATAGCAAATATTATATAAAATAATACTTTCTATTAATATTTTCTTCACTAAGTTATTATTCTCAACTTTTTTCATTTATTTTCTTTTAACAGACAAATCTAATTAACTTAATAGTTTTATATTCTATATAATAATTATTCTTAAACATGTTTTTAGGTAATTTATATTATAATAATTGTTAAATTCAAATAAATTTAACAGTTATTATTATAATATAATATGAAAACTTTAAATTTATTTAATTTATTTACCTATGATTAATTATAAAAATAGCTAATATAAGACCTTTAAAAAAGTATTTTATCCTAATATTATTAATTTTTTCACATTAATTTTATTTTTTTATTATTATTCTTTAATATAATTCTTAATATTAGATCTATTTCTTATTTCTTAGATTTGTCATTTTTATTCTTTATTATTTTCATTTTAATTTTTCACTATTTTATTCTTATTATTTTTATTATCTTTCTTTATTTATTTCTATTACTTTTATTAATCTTCTTTATTTATTATTATTATTTTTTTTATTTAATTATATTGATTTTTCTTTAAATATTTTCATAAACTTCTAAATTTTTTTTTTAAGATCATTAATTTTAATATCTATTGTGTATTATTAAATAATATAAATTGGTAATTTTAGTTTATATAACTATTTAGATTAGTTTATGTTAATTTAAAAAATTTTATATACAGATCTCTATCAAAAGTCTCTAAACGTTATCTTTTAAGAGTTATTTCATACTAATTATGTTGAGTGACTGCATAATACTTTGATCATGTGATGTAATATGTTTATTTTTCAAAAATATTTAAGGAATTAATAATAGAATTATACAGTGGTATAATTTTTTACTATTAACGTGATGATAATTACTGTATTATTACTGCAACTATTAATTGTGAATTGTTAATAGTTTTTAATATTTTAAAAGGATAGATGATGCTAAAACTATTAATTCTAAGCTTCATTCTGATCAACTACCTTTAATTAAAAATTCATAGTGAAAGCAGTTTAAGCGAATTATTACTAATAATAAAGAAAAAAATTATCACTTATGTCCTGAAGAAATTCAACAACTCTGGCAAAAAAGACTAACCAAGATATTTTAACTCAAACTATTAGTTAAGCACTTTGTGCAGTTAGATTAAACAATTATTTTACTTGATAAAAACTTTTAATTATACCAAAATATGTTGAAACACATCTTATATAGTTTTTGAAATATCAAAGTTAGATGAAAGATCCTTGGTCAAAAGTCATATAAATTAACAAATTAATCTTTTCATATTTCAACAAAGCTATTATAGTTGAGTGTAATATGAACATTATGAAAAATAAAATATTTCTTGTATTTTTGCTATAATGAAACATAATCTCAGTTAAATGTTTTGGAATTACTTTTTGAGACAAGATTTAGAACTGATTATTTTATTATCTACAATTATTAATATTATATATGTTATCATTCTTTACAAATATATCATGCTAACTATGAGATGTACATTTCTAAACTATAATAGTATTTTTCAAGAGAGTAATGCTTACCTTTATAACACAAAACCTGAAAAGAAATTTTATACAAAAAATGATTTATGTGTATTTTTATAACCTACTCAAAATCCAAATCTCAATCTTATTAAGAATCTATAAACTGAAGTCAAGAAAAGTATCTGTAAAAAAAAAAATTTACCTTTTAATTTTGCTCAACTTGATCAATATATTATAAGAACATAAAATTAAATTTTGATAAAAACTATTAAAAATTTGATCAATAGTATATCGCAGTAAATTTAGATTATGATTAAAGTAAATAGAAGTCTGATCAAGTACTAATTATTTAATACTAAATATATAGTATATCGTATTTCAATAAATATATTAATAAAGTTTTTTTAATAAAATTTAAAAAATTTAAGTTTTATATTGAGTCAAAAAGTGTTTGAAGACTTTTGATAAGAGTCTATATATTAATATATTAGGTAAGATTTTTTAAAATTAAAAAAGATTTTATATAAATTTTACATATAAAATTTTTTAAAAAAATTAAAAGCTGGATTAGAATAATAATATATATTACCTAATATTTTAAGCTGAAATAGGGTAATAATATATATTACTTAATATTCTAAAGGATAAGAGAGTAACAAATAAAGCTTTGCAATCAGCTTAAGCTGAACTTTTTTTTGCTCAATTCAGT